CTGACGTGGTTTTCAGTTCGATGTGCGGGCGATGTGCCCGCCGCGGTGCCCAATGCGGCTGGAATGGCCTCCTCTGCCAGATGACCGGCGGGCGGTCCGGGGCGCTTGCTCCTTCGGGGTGCGCAGTATGGGCCCAAGCCTGCGATCGGCCGGGCGCGGGGCGGCAGTGCGCACAGTGAGTGCGCGATGCCGGTGCGGCCTGCGAGTGCAGCCGTGCGGAGGCAAGTGGTCAGCAAGAGTTACAATCATCGGGCATCGGGGGCACTCTTTGGCGTGCCCCGCGTCATGTGACAATGCAGCGTATTGATAGTATCTCATCCCCCAATACGGCGCGGAGGGGTCCCTTAAGTAATAGAACTTCTAATGGCTATATCTCCATACCGCTAGCCCGAATGGCCTAATTCAAGAACCTATGGGTTCCCAGTAAACTCAACTAAAGGATAAGATTGTCCATTAATGTTTATAGTACATCCCAGATACCCATAACCAAAGAAACACACTACCCCCTGTGCTTTACACCACAACGCGAGTGCATATCCAAGCATATTGCCGCCGTCCACAGTTCACCCAAGATTGACCCATTTCTCCCTTGACTTAAGTACTGGCCCCTATCCATTCACAACCCTCAGTACTACAACTTCGCAAGGCCATACTGTGTACTGAAAAAAGTTTGTAGGAGAAAAATTTTCGCACATTTCGCGGTCGAGCCAGTCTGCGAAAATATTTCGCAGCGAACTTTTTGGTCCCGCGAACTTTTTCTGCCCGCCAACTTTTCGGCACCACTCAAAGGTGGGGCGGGTGCTAGGCATGTGATTTAGCCTCTTGGCTTTGTGCTGCAATGTGCGCCCCCTGCCGAGCAGCAAAGAAGCTCTGAGCTGGCTAGCAGAGGGTTCGCAGGGCAGTGGCCATTGGCTAGCCGAGTCTCCATGGAGCCCACAGGTTTTTGGGAGCATTTCGAGGGCACAGGCGTAGTGTGGCTTGCAGAGCGATCGGCGACCAAATCTGTGCTAGCGTGGAGTCCATCAAACGAGCAAGGAGCGTCCCCCTGGGGATGGCCCACAGGGTGGCTCCGGAGGGTCCAGCAAAGCGGAGAAGTCTCCAAATTCTCCCCGATCGCCATCGTCGTCTCAGCACCCTGTTGCGCCTCTTGAGCTTCGCGGGCGCCCATTTGCATCGCCTGCAGAGGCCGTTCCAAGCCACTTCGAATGGCGCAAATGAGGGCGAGCCTATCGCGCCTATCGGGTGGCCATTCGCGCCACCGGCTAGGGCGGTTTCAAGGCAGCGCAGGCATCGTCATTGTGCGCCCGTGAGGTGCCTATCTTGCAGCGCATCTCTCTCCTCGCTGGCGCACACCTGGGCCACTGGTGGGGCCCATCTTAGGCCACCGAGGGCAGCGCGAATGGGTGGCCGTGAGGCGCCAATCCGGGCGTCCCTTCAGGGCGTCGCGGGTGGTCACTCGGGCAGGCCCTGCTAGTCGCCCAGGGCGCCAAAAGACCCCTAGTTTGTTGGGCCTCAGAGCGGGCTGCAGACAAGGTAGGCACCCGCTGGTACCCCACCCGCTAAGGTCGTGCAGCAAAACTATTCGTACGGCAGAAATTTTTGTGGGGAAAAAAGTTTGCGGGAGAAAAATTTTCGTGCACCAGCGAGTGCGCAAAAATATTTATCCGCGAACCTTTTTTCCCGTGAAATACGCGAAATGTTTTCTCCGCGGAAAATTTTCGGTATACAGTATATTTGCCAATACTTAAGGGATTTGGGTGTTTAAAAAGCCTAGGAGCATCAGGATCTCTTGAATAAGCCCACCAATGAAACTGAGAGATTACTAATTTATGCTCCTAAAAATGTCAGTTAAGCCTTAACTTAAGCAGCCACGTCACAACGGCCTACACTCTGGTTACACCGAGGGACATTGTGTGACTAGGTGGAGTGACCGCCGGACCCGCAAACCATAGTCTTTCCATATTGCAGTATAGCCACATGTGAGAAACTACACGCTTTCTTCCCACCAACTGCAAAGCTATCCCCATGGTAAACATAGCGAATAGAGAGCCATGTCCATTGGGGTGGTGGTGCAACGCCCTCCGCGCCAAGCTAGAGAGGACGGGCATGCAGTTGGAGGCGTTTTACGTTAGGATACTAAAGATGGAGAACCAAAACTGGCGGGTGTGTGCGACCATCCACCAGATGGCTCCACCCCTTGCAATTGTGCATGGGCCCATTGCGGCCTAGTCGGGCAGCCATGCAAACGAGGGGCCAAAGAGGCAAGGGCGGAGCGGTCCAGATGCAGCAATAAGGAGGGCTGTGAAGCAGCCCGAATCATTGACCTTCATTCGAGCAAGCAAAAGGGCTATGCATTTCAATGGGGTCCAATATCCATGTGAGGTCAAGCAAATGGACGCGCACCAAGGTGAGCTATCAGCTGCCGACCAGGATGGGGAGGTCTACCTAAACAATGTTACGCGATGGCTGGCAATCCGGGGGGCAAGGATCGGTTGAATGGATGGACCACGCCTTATAAAACATACCAAAGATGAAGCCCTCCTAATCCGGTTTGATGTCTTGATTGTGGAGGGCTTCGAGGGGGATAACGAAGCAAGGGGGCAGTTGTTGTGGCAGTTCTAGGTGGTGTTCAACAGATCAAAAGATCCCTGGGTACAAGCCTTTGGGCCTCGGTTTGAGGAAGTGGAGTAGGGAGCCCAGACCGGGTAGAGTGAGGCTGAGTGGGGGCACAGTGAGGACTCCGCGGAGGCTACCACGGATAGGAAGTGGGTGCGGTCTCCATAGTGAGGGAAGAGTGGGAAGCGGGTTTGCCGTGCTGTGTAGTGGGGTAGTTAGGGTGTTTTGGGGTAGGTTCTGAACAATGTGTGAGATAATGGCTCATCGGTGTAACTCTCCTGGAAAGGTGGCATGACAAAACAAGAAGAGGGAGAAACAAGGAGACCCCAATGGGGGTATACAGAGGTTATTGTTGGTTTGGGATGGCACCCTTTGTCGAACAAAGCATTGTAATGAGCACCGGTCAATAGGGACTTTGTTGCCTCTTTGCTGCCAACTTGTGATTTTGTGTTTTAGCCTATAGATAATGACGACCTATGCTGCTGCCTTGGGTGCACGGACTATGTGTACAGGACGGGAGCTAATATCTTAGTTGTTGGGGACTCACCGAAAGTTAGTTCTGTCCAACCGGGAGTAGAAGGTAAGTGAGGTTATGTATAAATACACATGGCAAAGAGCAGGGTCGGTACTTGCCACAGGTCTATCCGAATGCAGAATGCAAGTTGCTATATGCAGTAAATGTTGGTAATTTGGGCTGCATTTATTTATGTGTGCATGGAAAATATGTAGCGTGTGCTCGCATGAAAGAATGCTGGATTTCTACATGGTGGGAAAGACTATGGAAGGTTTTTGATTGTGAGGCTGGAGTGTGTGAGTGTCAGACTGGCCCATCCCGGTTTGAGTTGATAACGCCAACAGATTTATAGTGTGGAATTCTGGCAGTTTGTGTGTATATGTTTAAAACTGTGGTAAAACTATATTTTCATGGTATTTAGAGTGAGTGGACAGCTGGTCAAGGGTTGGCATTCCTTGATGTGTATGACTAGCTAATACTGGCATATTGAGTATATAAATGTACCCACATTTGGGCGAGCAACTCATGTGTTCCAAGGGCAACAATTATCTGCCCAATTTTACACCAACCATCACAAAGTACTGATGCAAGTATGGTGGGCATTGTTCTGCTGCCTTTATTTAGATCACAAACGCAGCCAATGCACAGGAGTACTGCAAAAAACATGTTGTTGGCTTTGTTGGTCAACCACATGGAGTACAATTGCTGCAAATGCTTTAAATGACCGCCATTACATTCTGATCTGACCAGTGCTGTTTCTACCCGGCTTCCCGCGCCATTCTTCGTTCATCTTCTTCGAATAGATGCTATTATGAGGAAGGTGCAACAGGTGTCATTGGTGCTTTGAGTCATCCTGGACTAGTTTTAGGCTACTTGCCACTTGTTCTAGGCCTCATGGGGCGCCAGCTGAGCACTACTAAAGAGGTTGCTTCTGTAATGCAATCTTTCTATGTTAATTGGCGCCCCGAACAGCTGACCTTTGGGGAGTGGCTGCGGCCGGTTGTGGCACTCTGGGGGGCAGTTGCGAGAGGTTCTACAAGCGCATTTGCATGCTTGACAGTCAACTGGATGTTTGCCGCTTGTATGAAGCTTCCCTTGCCATCGCCGTGACAAGCAGTTCTTTGCGAAGAGCCAGTTCGTGCAAGGGACAAAGCTTGTTCGTTGAGTGCACCCCCAGTTGACGTGGTGCTGAGGCTGTTGACGTGGCTCAGCTGCCCGCTCAGGGGTGATTTGACTGCGCTATCTCCAGTGATTATGATCAGAATGGACCCAACCATTTTCGATACTGCAACAGCGACGACTTCGGATGTTGCCAAGCATATTGCCTTTCGGCACATGCACACAAGCACGCAACATCAGACAAAAGTTACGGCATAAACAATGCAGGCATACTGCAACTCTTTTATTGCACCATAGCGCTGATGTTGCCATTCTACTATCAACGATTTCCCACGTTCCACGGGGAGCCCCACAGCAGAACCGGTATTCCTAATTGCTACATGGGAAGCCACAATTCCAAAATGATGAAACTGGCGCCCATGCTGAAATTGACGGCAATCTAATTACTAGTGAGGATGAGAAAACGGGCACATGAAGTGGGCTTAGAAAACATGCCCTCGAGCCTGATGTGTGTGCATCTACATTCAAATACCTGACTAATACCAAAGACAATCCCAGCTTTCTTGACACCCTTCATTCCAAACTCTTGAGGTCAAGCGCAGAAGGCATTAAACAAGTCGACGGCACCCTGCACGCTGCTCTATTAGGCTGGATTCTGCAAAGCCAGCAGCATCCAGTACAATGACGGCCCCCCACCGCCCCACCCCTTTACCCACCCCTCCAACCCCCCTCAACCCCGGGCTCTGCATGCTCAGCCTGAGGTTGTTGTCTGGTTTGAGACGCATTGAAGCATCTCGAATAGTGTTGGCAGAGTCCTACACTCTTTGTTTGGATCGGTAGTTGGTGCAGGTGAGGAGTCTGTCCCAGCTGCTGCGGTGTCATTTGCTGCACTTGGAGTCAGGGCTTCACTGCCGGGGGCAAGAGCACTTCGACTAGGTGCAGGTGCCGGACTCAAAGAGTTGGCATCGCTAGGCGATTCAATGCTTGGACCAGACGTTGGTCCAGCAGGCATTGGGCTTCGCTCAAGGGGGGTTGGAGGAGGCCCCAGGTCATTTGAGCCACCTGGTGCTGGCGCAGAACTTGGACTCGTCAAATCCCTGACATCTGGCGCCTCCATACTTGGAGAGACGTCAGTCTCTGGGGCAGGCACCAGATTAGCAACTGAGGCGTCCGCAGCTGCTGGCACCTCAGCACTTGGAGAGGCTACCAGACTCTGCGCAGGCGTTGGAGCAGTGGCATTGTCGGCTTCAGGCGCCAGCATGCTTGGAGCAGGCCCCGCTGTCTCCATATTGAAGGAGGTACCTGGGTCCGGTCTGGTTCCAGGCCTTGAGGCATTCATGGGCTCTGGTACAGCTGCTCCTGGAAGGGTTGCAGGTGCAGGCACCGGAGCAGTGGCATTGTCAACTTCAGATGTCAGCATGCTTGGGGCAGGCCCCGCAGCCTCCATGTTGACAGAGGTACCTGGGTCCGGACTGGTTGAGGTCCTTGAGGCATTCATGGGTGCAGGCACAGCTGCTCCTGGAAGGGTTCCAGGTCCAGCAGCAGCGGCAAGACTTGGTGCACTCGAGCCTTCAATTGGTTCTGCACTTACAGGGGCGTCCATGTCTGGAGAAGGCGCTGGGCTTGAGGCGTTCATGGCGATCGGCACCTCTGCATTTGGGGAGGGCCCAGGACCCTGCACAGGCACTGCAACTGTGGTGTTGATGTCTCTTGATGCCACCATGCTTGGAGTGGGCCCCATCACCCCAGGAGCGAAGGAGACATCTGGGCCCGGACTTGTTGCAAGACCAGGGGCATTCATGGCAACTGTTCCTGACGAAGTGGCAGGGCCAGGAGCGGGCATAGGGCTTGGTGCATTTGGGCCTCCTGCTTGCCCATCGCTTGGAGAGGCAGCCATGCCAGGGGAAGCCGCTGGATTCGAAGCATTCATGGGCCCCTGCACTCCAACATCGGGCTCCAAAGGCTGCTCTGGGCCAGGAGCTGGAATTAAGGAATCAGTGGCAGCTGGCGGCATTGCGATGGACGGAGAGTCAGGGCCAGGAGAAGGTGATGGACTTGATGCATTTGTGGCATCCAATTGCTCTGCGTCTGGAGAGGTGGCAATACCTGGAGCAGCTGCTGGACCGAGCGAAATGCTTGGAGCCATCGTCCCGTTGCTCAAATCCCCTCCTGGGGCCTGAGCTGCTGCTATGCTAGAGGCATTTGCAGTGCCAGGTACCTCCATGCCTGAAGAGGGTCCAGGCACCAGAGCAGTTGCCGGACTGGAGGCGTTCGCCTGAGCAGCAGATGGACTGGTGGCATTGGTGCTAGACAGCACCTCGTCGCTTGGAGCTGTCATGGGCCCAAGGACATCTGTTGAACTTGACTCATTTGTAGCCACCAAAATCCCTGTGTCTGCTTCAGGGCCAGGCACCTGCAGGATATACATCCAACAGTTTGTGATGTGATGACTGTGGAGTCAGCGATGAGCGAACAAGGCGGCATCATGTGGCTGATGGTGTCTCACACATTCAGGCTTTCTTTGCTCAAATCAGCACAGTAAGGGAAGCCAGGGCTGCAAGGCCATCAGACAACAAAGTGCACAAGTGTGCCCAAAGAATAGTGAGCTGCAAAGGTTATGCCCAAAAGATTGTCTTGTGCAAAAGTGCAGCCAATTGAAGATAAGAAATAACAGAGAGGATCTGAACTGCAGCACTCGCACTGTAAAACACATTCCACAAGAAACCAAAAAGACACTGCCACAATGCATGTCTCCTAGAAGTAAGTGTACTATAGGAAAATGTGATCGAGTCGTGTATCAATACATGCTTGTTGCACTACCTCAACAATTTCACACACTCTGCGCCTGGGTTCTAAGCCATTAGGCTGTCTTCAGCTGGATCGTGGATTGATTTCCATTTCCTTTTATTTTACCATGAGATGATCAGTTGGGTGAGCACCCCAGCATGATGGACAGTCTGCATGAGTACCTGGACATGAGGCGACCCGTGACATTACCTCATTGTGGTATCACACTAGGAAAGGCAGGCCTCGTATTAGGATTTGTTCTTCATTAAAGGATGCATTCACTTTCACATTAACAAACACAAACTCTGTGCTTGAGCAAAGATGTGTTCTGGTTTCCCTTTCCACACTACCCATTTCTGCAAGTCTGGCTTTTGCCGACAGCCAGTAACTGGTGAATGCAGATGATTAGTGACCTTTCTATTCCTCAAAGGCATTCAATCTCAGCACATGCACACAGCTCTCATGTCATGGACATATATGCTTTGTCTAAGTGATATATCAGAGCACCGCTGTGACAGAGACTGCAGCAACGAAGCAGCTAGCACAGGGGACATAGCACAAACTGTATTGATCTTCACCATTTGATCATGGCAATCTGCGTTGTAGTTCACCAGCAGTATTATTGCCACAACAAACAATAGTAGTGCAGTAGTGGTTGTCTTGGGAGCTCACTGTCTCAGCACAGCTTTCAAAGTTGGCAACACCAGTTGCATCCTGTGTCTACGAATACTACTCTCACACATACCTCCACTGCAGCTTCACTCAATAAGTCCATGATCTCCTGCACTTGGCTGCTGTTTTGGCAGTTGAAAATGGGGCACACCACGTCTTCCTCATCATCCACACATCCACAGACTGTCACATTTCCTGTTCTTGGACTTGCGCCCTGCAGGCAAGCAAATGCAAGCCAATTCTCACAACAGCAATATCGCACTGTACACAACAAGTCTGAGTGAGGGACATGAGCAGCACAGCAATGCCAACTGCAAATCATGTACCTGCACTCCCAGTGATGGGAACCCATGGGTGCACTGACACATAGATATGGAACACAACTCTGCATTCGTGGTGCACACCTTCTGTCACTGAGGGTCAGGTCCTACCACATGTTTGCAGAAAAGAAAGGAATTTGAAGTTGGCCAATGTATATGTCACTGGACATTGACGCACTCTGCCCGCAGAATAAGAAACGTGTCCAGCATCATGAGAACAGTGTAGTGACCAGTTCATACTGGATTTCGTTTGGCAGCAATATCTGGCACTACTGCTTTCAGCAATCCTACACATAGTATTCATGATGCACCTGCCATCCATGGTCATTCAGTGCCACAGCACATTCAGTGCCATCATACCTCCGAAAGAAGGAATTCGACGTTTTCCTTGTTGCCAACCCAGGCAGCATCCCCAAGGGCTGTCCTCCCCTTCGAGTTCAATGCTTCAATATCCACTGCTGTTTCAATCAGTCGTCCGATAGCTGCTGTGTTGTTGGGAGTGAGTGCGGCAATATGCAAGGCATTGCGATTTTGATCTGTTGTGATATTAACATCTGCATCTTCTGAAATAAGTTCATCAACTACACTTGGCTTGCTCTCCATAGCAGCAACCATGAGAGGAGTGATGCCATTATCTAGACTGGTGGAGTCGATGTCAGCCCCCGCCCCTATCAGAACCTATGCAAGGAGAACACAATCCACAGGGCATGAGGAGAACACTGTCTTTGCAATTTCTGTGCATCTTGCCACAACCAGTCTGAACAAGAAATTCTGCCCAAGCAGTGTGGGAATCATGCACAGATATATGAACAGTTTTCTGATGGTGATTGGCTCAATTCAGTTGAGCCAGCATCACAACAGACTGAGCATTCTGCGACAAGCTGTTCAGCCCCAGTCCTTACTTGCACGGCCTGCACAGATCCACTCTCTGCAGCTCCGTGCAGAGCCGTTTCTCCCCTCAAGGTTACTCGTGTTACATTTGCACCACTCAACAGCAAATGGGTGACGATTGTTGCATTTCCAAGTTCCGATGCCCTGATGAGAGGCGTGTGGCCTGTCCTCAGGAACTCTGCATCAACAGCAGCACCTGAGCCAAGTAGAAATTCACCGATGCCAAGGTTTTGCTGGGACACCGCATTGTACAGCGGTGTTGCCCCTTCTGTTGTTCGGAGTTCCAGATCAGCACCTTCCTGGCGACACAAATCAGCTGTGTTTACAAGAAATTGTGCCATATATTTTCTTGATACAAAGGAATCAGCCCAAGGACCACAGATATCAAAAAGTGCAGTGCACTTAAAGTGAGAAATCGTTGCAATGACAAACAAGAAGCTGCAAAAATGCTGAGGTGCGCAATGTAGTTGTGCATCATGATCATCCCAAACACAACAACCACTTGTTCAAGTCATTTCTTATGTTCTTCAGTCACAATCCAAACACAGGTGCTGTGGAAGGGTTTGCTTTTCCAACCCTTGGCACAGCTCATTGTTGCACCCATAACTGGTCCACAAAATGAAGCAAAACGAGAATAAGGGAAAGCATACAGTCTAACAGTGTCTCCACATGCCTCTCACCTTGCTAATATGGGTGCTAAAGGACATGTAGGTCTCTAACTCGAAACCATGTACATCCATAGGTCACTGCAGTGTCACTTGTCTCAGCATCAATGTTAGATAGCAAATCGCAGAATGGAATAGTATTCCACCAATGTCACAAGTATCAAGTGTCATAAGAACATCGCAACAATGTACAGAACTGTTGCTTCCATTTGCTGGTGCACAAAGTGGAAGCTGACACAATCTGGCCTCTGATGCCATCAGTGCACTCAACTGATTACAAATTCAGTTTATTACTAAAACGTGTGTGTGTTGATGGCCCTGGCAATGGAGAGCGAGCACCACTCAACATGAGCACAAAGGTAACACACTGCCAGGCGATGAGCCAATCAATGCGCAACTGCCAGTGTAGCAGTTTCATACCTCAACCAAAAGCATAACAATCGCAGGCTGGTCAAAAAACACAGCTGTGTAAAGAGGCGACCATCCAGCCGCACCCTGTTTGTCAATTTCAGCACCGCCATCAACCAAGGCCCTGGCAACGATACAGTCAGCAAATCAGTGGCCATTCCAGCAGCAAACTCCTTAAAGCCAGTGTACTCTCATATGGCTGCCAGATTATCTTGCAATTCCCAGACAAGTCGTCTCCAATCCAGGATGTTTGGACTCTTTCAACAGATCACATGTTCTGGGCTCTGTATTCATGCAACAGACTCACTGGAAACAACTGAGATAGTACGTGCTGCACATATTCAGTGGATGTTTACATTCAATAAGATTCTTCTGCAGCAGCACCAATCCCAAGCAACTAATCGTGATAGGAATTTACTTGCCTGACTACACGGAGGTGACCAAAGTGTGCAGCAAGAATCAAAGGCGTATTGCGAATTTCATCAGTTGCATCTACGTTCGCTCCTGCCTCTATCAGTCGATTTACCTCCACCAAATCCCCTTCTTCAGCAGCTGCCAATAGTCCCTGCAGGAGGTACAGAGTCCATGCAACCCCTCTTGTGCACATACACGATTGAGTTCATTTAAATTGTGGGCAGCTGCTGTCTAAATAGGTTGAATACACATTGTCATAAACAGGTAAACATCTTTCTTGTCCTTGCATTTGAAACTTCTACCAGATTGCACACCCATGGTACAATGGCAGTTCATTGCATCCTTGCCTGCCACACACTGCTTTGAACAGCAGAGGTGACACACCACATGCAGAAAAAATAACATACTTCCTCCGTCCCAGATTAATTGTCGTCTATTTGAAAGGCTAAATTTGTTATGAGGACAGCCTCAGAATTTCAAAACAAGATCAAAATCGAAAAGATTGCATCTCAAAACCCTTGACTATCAATTTTCAAGAAGAAAAAGTGAGGCACGACTCTTTTGAGCGCAAGGCGAAGGTAAATTTTGGTCATTTTTGACCCCAAACATTCAGATTTACTATATAAAAAGAGCCTTGGTACAAAGTACTGCCAAATCCTCAATACTTAACGGATTGACTTGAAATTTTTATGGTGTACTCCCAACTCAAAAACACAACCACAGACGAAATTTTATTGAAAACAGATGCGGGAATGATGTAGAAATAATGCCCCAAAATTATAGACGACAATTAATCTGGGACGGAGGAAGTAGTTTGCACACTTCATCATCCACTGAACAGGTCATAAACGCAAGTTAAGAGTCCTGCAAGCTCAGCCTGCAAGGTCCACGTCCTGCATCAGCCAGCCTGACCAAAAAACAGCTTCTCACAAAGAAACACATCCTTTCCAGGCTTGTATGAGGTGTGTAATGCCCTGTCCTTACTTGATCCAAGTTTGTTGACTGCTCCTGCTTCAGCCTGCGGCTACTGTGTGTGTGATGCTGAGTGTTTGCACTAAGCACTAGCTGTGGCAGCACTTCATCAGCTTCACCTGCCACATTAAGAATGCCAATGTATTTTTGTGACAAGCAGTTGTTCTGCCTCATCCAGCCTGATAATGCAAACTACCCATATTGTGTGTGTTGTACAGCAGTGCATAGTAATGACTGGGTTCCATGGTGGCAGCACAGAACTGTGCATGATGTGGCTCTTTGTTTCCGCCTGTGTTCGGTGCCTCAGCAGGTCATTGCAATTTTGACAAGTTCGAAAACCCCTGGGGGCAGACAAGCAAAATGATAAATGGATGAGGCAATGCTGCAACATTCAACTTTGGTTTGAGGTGAACTTCAGAAAATGATGTGCAGTGGATCTCCATGCAGAGCACCTGAGCATAGCTCTCTGCCACAGAAGTGGTTGCCTGAGAAGAAATCTTAATGGTGCCCATCAACACGTATGTGTACTATTACAAATTGCTATTTATCGCATGTAGCTTGCATGGTGTTGTGTGGCTTCATCTGCCTTTTAGAGATTTCTGCATCATATTTCATAGCAGGCAACACAGTCTCACCATCTTTTTGTCACAGGAGGAGGGTGCACATGGTACATCATATTTCTTATTCTCTCTACGATGAATCCTCTTTTCGCCCAGCAGGCGATAGCCTGACGGCAGATTGGACATCTGCATAATTCTTTGAACACTTGGCGGTGGGTGACATAACGTTGTTCTGCTTCCATGCTAGGAAAGGAACATCTTTAATGAGGTGTTTTTCTGTTTAGGATGCATTCTCATTCCCGTTCTCTGCCAGCAAAGCACAAACAAACTGCCCAATTCTGTCCTTGAAAGCTGGCAAATGCAGTGGCTGCATCATCCCCACAATATCCTTTCTATTTGCATAGTCGCCACTTTCCATCATTGCTTTTGCATTTCCTGCATATGTACATGGTGTTATTGTTGCTGTCCCTCTGGGCGCACTATCTGTCAACAACCCAACGCAGCCTACTTAAACTACAAGGCTGCGGCCCACAAGGAAAACCATCTGAAACAAATAAACACCATTCTTTTAATCAGTATATCTGCAGTTCATAGGCACAAGGACAGCAGAGATGGCGATCTCCCCAACGGGGATTGCCAACAACTGGCCCCCCTCGCCCCCTTGTACCGATCAGTACTGATCAGCGTCTCATGTCTAATTCCAGGAAACCATGGGCAGTCTTCGACACTGGAGCAGAACTGGCTGCTGTGCCAAGGCGCCAGCCGCTTGAAAGCCTGCTCTCCCACTTTTCTCGGCAGTTAACAGCAGACAGGTGGGTTAATCCGACTGGAACAATCACGTGAGGCTGGCTACAGCGGGCTCGGATCGAATACTGCCCTTCCAAAGAGGGTCGTCCTACCCGGAATGGGTGCCCAGCGAAGGGGTGCGTCTCCAGATGCACGCACATCCAAAGCGCTGTTGGTTCCTGTCTCACTCGCTCGACAGACGCAGGCCCGCAGGGACAGAAGGATGAGCGCGGCGACAGCGTTGGCCCGCAACCAAGGTCCGGTGGCTACTGTGAAGGATAATTGCCGCCGTTCGCAAAGCATCGCGCTGCAACGCGCGGTTCGCCCCGGCGGGCCGACCGGCAACGCTGACTCGGCCCGCGGCGCAGGCGCCCACCCGGCGTTCCTCGGCAGGGCTACTGGCAGCTCCTGGTGTTCTTCAGCATCAGGGGCCGCGTACTTTGGACGGAGCACCCGAGGCGACCCATGCTCATGACCACGACATGCCACCCATGTTGTGTTCATTGCCCCAAAATGGACACTGAAAATGGAGACGGAGCACACCCCACACAGATGGGCAGGCACCATCCCACCAGGTGCCCGCCCCGTACGGAGCGTGCACCTCATGGTTTCGAGACCTTACTCCATGGCCCCATGTACGACAAAAATCGCGCGGCGGTTCGCCTGAGGGGCCGCCCAGCCCGCCTGCTCTGACGACTCTTCACATAAACATCACCGTGACGAATTCATCGAGAAGATGTGGAGGAGGCGGCTCGAAGGTCTCCATGTACTACGGGCGCCTCTGACGGGCACGCGGCACGCTCGCCTGCACCCCAAGCGGGCCGCCGCAGTCAAGCCGTTAAGTAGGGTGGGGGCTCCGTAACGTGATCCACGGAGGCGAGTCACCTCGCATGGCCCCGCCACACTTGGGCCCTGACGTTGGGTCACAGCTTCCAGAGAGGTTCACAGCCAGGGGGCTATTTGTTGGGCCGCCGGCAGCCACGCCAACCAAAAGAAGAACTTCGTTCGCGCCTGCAAGCGCTGCGGAACCGACGTTTGTGCACAGCAGTGTGCAAGGAAGCGAGTCTGGAAAAGCGGGGAAGGCTGTCCGGGGCGAGCCCAGCCACGGGCGGCCCATCTCCCGCTGTTCTGCTGGCCTGTCGGTTGAGCACTGCGACGACAGACACCACGGCGGCGGACGCAAGCCCGCCAGCGCTGCTCTTGTTTGGCGTGCCGGTCCCACGGTCCGCAGACGGCTGCGCAAAGGCACAATTTTGGGGGCAACAACGTTGTTTTGAGGGAGGCAGCGGGACTCGGTGCGCGGAGGTCAGCACCCAGTGCAGGCACTACCACTCGGATCGTCGCGTTGGTGGTGAGTGGTGTGTTGCCCGGGGCGGCGAGAGAAGCCGGCGGGCAGGCAGCGGCGGCTCTGGCCAGGCGCAAGATTGCCCGTCCGCGGGAATCGCTAGTGACTCGGACGTTGACCGCGGTCTCGCCGCATTGGGCAGGTTCCCTTCCGAGTGCTCTGCGGGTTGCCCCACATGCCGGCTGCTCGCCGGCGTCGCAAAAGCTCTCGTCGTGGATCTCTTAGCTGTGTGGATGGGTAGGGGGAGCTGGTGGGGTGCCGCAGCGGATGGGAACCTTGGCCGCCATGGCCGCGTTCTTCACTATTCGTTCCGCCGCCAGGGTTGGGGTCGATTCTGTCCGGGATAAACATCCCTCGAGCGGGACCGCCGGCTTCAATTTTGCGCCTCTGGCGAGTTTTTGGATCGAACGGACGCGGTTTGGGTGGGCGGCACGTGTGGCACCCTTTGGGGGCCATCCCGTGGCGCGTCCCGACTGCTCTCTGTGTTTTCGCGCTCGTTTTGACCCTCTCCTGCTCTGCTCCCCAGGAGCACATGAGAACATGCACCAGTGCACGGAGACACTGATGAGGTCCGCTGAGGGCGGCCTGGTGATGGGGGCCCCCGAGATGCTGGGGCTGGATCGGCGCAACGCGGAGCTGGACGGCAGCCACGGCACCTGGGGGGCTGACGTGGTGAAGAGTGTTGCGGCCAAGTCGTCGTTCGCGGGCGCCGTGCCACCGGTGGAGATCCCAGCGGAGCAGTGCAGGCTGTGGCAGCTGCCGGCCCCCAGTGCTGCCCCCGCGCCCCCGATGGGGTCGAAAAACACCCAGGGCCGGCGGCCCAGAATGGAGGACACGGACGCCATGATCACCAACCTGCTCGAGGTGCCACTCCTCTTCCACGCGGACGACCGCATCGTGCCCAAGGCGGTCGAGGCCGTGCTCCAGCCCCTGTGGGAGGATGCCCTGGGATCGCCGCGATCGCCCCTCACCAGGTTTCCATCGGAGCAGAGCGAGGCGGACATGCAGGTGCAGGGGGCCAAGTTTGCCGGCGGCAGGCAGCCCCAGCGCCTGGACGCCAGCTTCCACTTCGTGGGCGTCTACGACGGCCACGGTGGGCAGATGGTGTCCAGGGAGGCTGCGCAGAACCTCCACCTCTATTTCAGGAAGGCCTTCAACCGGGCACTGTCCGCCTCCAATACCGCTGACTCCAGCTCAACGGACTCCTGCAAGTCGGACTGCACCCACAGGAGCGAATCGCCCGTCTCCGGACTGGCCCTGAAGAGGAAGCACTCCAACTGGCGCAGGCGCGATGACAGCGGCCTTTCCTCCAGCAGCTCGGGAAGCCTGCTCTCCCCTGCCCACAAGACCGCCAGAAAGGGTGGAGACCTGTCTGCAGATGGGGACCTGTGGCCATCCGGCTCCATCTCGCCGTTCGCCTGGAACAGGGCGAACGCTCTGGCGAGGGACCACCCAGGCCTGCGGCTGCATCAGGTGGAGGACGCCATCCTGGAGGCCTTCCGCATGTTGGACAACCAGCTGCTGGAGCAGGACGAGGCCAGGAGCACCGGGTCCACTGCCGTTGTGGCGATGGTGAGCACCTCGCACCTGTGCCTGGCCAACTGCGGAGACTCCAGGGCGGTGCTGTCCAGAGGAGGCGTGGCGTACAGGTTGACGCGCGACCACAAACCTGAGCTGGACGATGAAGAGGTGGGTGTCCCTCCAGGTGTTGTCTTTGCGCCTGTCAGTATGGCTGTTGCCTCGCTACAGTCCTGGTTTCATGTATTGGCTTTCCATTTGACTCTGTGCTATCTGGAAGGTGGGTGCCTGTCCTGAAGCCACCATTTTTGCTGTGAAGTCGCAAGGAACAACAGACCCTGTGTTTGGATTCTATTCGTGGCAGTGACAAATCTTGGTTACTGTGTCTGCAGGAACGGATCAACAGCTGTGGGGGCAGAGTCCTTGACTTCAACGGCAAGAGAGTCATGGGTTTGTTGGCCATGTCTCGGGCACTTGGAGATCATTGCCTCAGGGATGTGGGCGTGGTTGCAGAGCCAGAGGTAAGCAGCGTTCTGAAGCTTGCTGTATTCCTTCGTCATCAGTCCCTGTGACTGATCCACCAGGCCTTTTGTCTTCTTTCCCTCCTTTGTCTATCCTCTTGACCTCCTTTGTCTTTTTTGTCTATGTTCTTCTTTGCTTTCTGTGGGTTGGTCTCTTATGTGCTGACCAACGAGTTGTGCCATGTTCAGGTCACAATAATCAGTCGCAGCCAGGAGGACGAATTTTTGGTGCTGGCCAGTGATGGCTTGTGGGATGCCCTGTCAGACAACGAGGTCTGTGACTTGGCTCGCAGATGCTTTCAGCGTGCCAAGGAACGTGGAGCAGCACCAGAGACGGCCTCCAGGGTGGCAGCGAGTGTGCTCATGAGAGCAGCCCTTGATAGGGGCTCAAATGACAACATCACTGTTACTGTTGTAGACCTGCGTTATGATATTTGACCAGAGGGCTGGGAAACCACCCAGAACAATATAATATAGTTGCCCAAGGCCCGTCGCACATAGTGTGCAACGGGCCTGAGTAGATACAGGAATCAATTGTGTCTTTAGCGTGGTGGGAGATGCAATATGGCGATTTAATGGGATTGTTTGCCAGATTATTTTGCCGAAAGATTGGCATTGGCAACAGCAAAAGCTGGAGCCACCAATTGAAGCTGCAAGAGGCCATCATGGGGATGTGCTGGCATAAAGTTTTGGACGCTGGTGGTGATTCTTTCAGCCTGTAGTGCGGCTGGCTGCAGAACGATTGGGAATCGGGTGCAATTTCATGGGGTTTGAGGATCAACAATTCGGTACTCTGTGGTTGGCACGTCATCGACTGTGCAGCACCGAAAGCATCGATTCGGAATGTTCCGAAGTATTGACATGTGTTCGTTGTTGGACAAGGCCGATTGGATTGGTGTGCGTGCTGAGGTGACCTGCACGAAAGTGTAGTGCCTTCAAACACGCCTGGTGTGATATTCAGCCTGGCACCCCAAGCATCACATGTGTGATCTTGGACGTGTTCAAATTTTAACGGGTTGCATCAATGGCTGGCTGATTACGGCACGAGTTCTGGCTTCCGGTCCCTGGTACGATGAGGTTGGAAAAGCAGATGGATTTGCATTTCCATTGGAACAATGGAGAGCTTTTTATTTGGAGCAATCTGGATTCAAATCCGGCGCCCCACAACGGCGACGAGCCTAACTGTAATAGTGAAGCAGTTTTTTTCCAAGGGGGTGGTTTTCAATGGGGTAGAGTGTTGGCATGCTGCTTGTCAACAAATTTGCACCCTGACAGAGCCATAAGGGGGTGAGGTTGCCAGTCCAGTCCATGTGGTGTTGTTTTTTCCCTCGTAATTGGCATCCAACGCCCATGACGTTCTTTGGTTCAATGCAGTTTAACACGCTGAGGTCGGCGTTCGCATGCTTTACCTCCAGAATTTGTGCTTGTGGGCATTGGCTTGGTGGCATGGTACCACACACCCATCAGGAAGTTGGCATGGGTTCACCAATGTGGACAAAGACTCCCCACGAATTGGCGCACCAGACTCACCGCAGCTCATTCTTGAATCAGAAAGGTCGTATGCAATCACAACCATCCGCATCGTGCACTTTTTAATCATGTTCAAGACGCAATCTTTCGCACACGACGCTCCGCGGCTGCGGCAGAACAGCCATTGAAGATAGCGACGTCGCCCAAGTAATCCAAGTTTTGGACGGAGCAAAATCGATGGAAAGGAATTCGCACGATGTCGTCTTTCGACCACCAAGAACCTCCGTCACTTGCCCCTCCTGGGAGGCACACCAGTTCTCCTGCCTCGTCGGACAGTAGAGTCATCAACAGCTCTTTGGAGGACAGCGACTCTGGTAAGGGGCTACCTTGGCCGAACTGTCCAAAACATTCAGCTCAAACACACCTGGGAAGGGACAGAAAGTATCGACAGCGACCAAAGTCCTAGAAGGTCGGCGTTACATGGTATCAGCTGTCTGGGAACAATTTGACCACCGGAGCGAAAGGGACGAGGCACACAGCACACGTCTTCGAAGCCAACCCTACAAAGCATGTGGAGTACAGCACATTGGGCATCACAGGCCAGCTTCCAGGGGAGCCATCAAAATTCGAAGGACATCATTCTGTAAGAAGATACATCCACTTTGGATGTTCCTGCCTTTCCCTATTTTAACGATGCATTGCTTGCCTATTTTCCCGTTGCGAAATATAGCCCGATATGGTCGGTTTTATCTTGGTGAAAACTCGCCACATGCTTGTAGGACATGTTAGTGATAATTGGCTCAAAAATGGTGCTTATTGCTTATTGCATTGAGTAGCCTGACTATCCCACAGAGTAAGCCATATTTGTTAACATGCATGCCAGCCGTCAGGCATGCGAAGCAAATGATCCACCCAAAGAAATACCTTTTATTTTGTGTCATCTCGAAGAACGTGGAATTATGTGGTATATTTTGATTGTAGGCGATCGATTGGGAGAGCATCCAACACTTTTGTTGGCTTAGTTTCTATGCCTGTAAAATTAATGTTGATGGGATATTGTGTGTGGTTGCACAATTTTCTCATAAGAGAGAGCCTTAAAGGGATGCAAACAAAGGATGCCAAGGGATGCCCATTACGTCCCCGGTGGCCCTCATGCAATACCGTTATAGTGCGCTTCTGGTCAGCCCCTAGGGTTCATGGGGAACCCCATCCTGGAGCACCACATAGACAAAAAGAAAGATGGTGTGCACAGTGAACAAACCCTTACCGTGCAGAGCATTTAAGGCTACTTCCTTTTTTGAGAGGCGACTTAAACATTGACTTGTGTACAATTCGGACATTGGGGCGAAATAGGAATAGAACATCTTAAGATGTGTCATTGACTAGTGAAAAGTGCAAAATGAATAAATTCAAAATAGGGGAAAATATCTGTGTGTGACATATGGTGGCGAGTCGCCACTGGCGACTGCTAGTTTCTTGCCACTACTTCAAAACCGCTGAACAAGCTGAGGAGGTTACTTGGGCATAGGCGACCTCTCATCTGCAATGTGTTGTCGCCCGTAGTTGGTATGGAAGGCTCACAGGAGCAGCCGCATTGCAGTGACCATCGGCCATTGGGGACCATGACCTGCACCTGCTATCGGATATTGAGCCTGTGAGAGTGTCATCGAGAGACAGGGAAGTTCTGTAGGCCCCTTCCGGTAGGCAATAGTGCTCCAACCTAGCAAGCGATATGTGCACGCCAGGATCCCCCTGCCTCCTCCCCTTCCGCCACCCCCACCCAGTCCACCAAGGGAGCAGGTTTCATTTGAAGCCCTCAGTGGGAGATGGAGAATTCAGGCTCAAGTTTCTCTGTTTGGTTGTGTGGACTTTGACGGTGACAGGCCCATGGGTAAAAATCTTATGTACCAAGATGCATAGGCACAACCTGGGCTTCGAGACTATCCACTGCTCACCATCCTTATCTTAGCTGAGAATTTGTGGGACATGCAGGAATGAATAATCTTGTATTTCTTTTATTCAACTTCTAGAAGAAATTCCAATGCATAAGTAGGCATACTCTTTTGTGGTTGAAATATCACAATTGCCAAAATTATATTTGTCAGGGCGTGAGGTAAAGGAACCATAGTTCAAGTATTTGAGAAATCTGGCCCAATTCCAAAAAGAAATTCCATCGGGAATTACAAGCTTGGCAGACTTGTAAGATATGAAGTGTTTGTCCAATTTGATCCCAAAACGTCACAAGTACATTAATATCATTAACAAAGACCAAAATGATGATTGGGATCTGAGTGATCATTGAAGACTAAAGGTGTTGTCTAGAGAGTTGCTGCAACAATTCTTGAAATAAGGTATAGAGCAAAGGACTAGAGGTGTTATGACCTCTCCTAGAATTCCCCATACTGAATAGGCCGGGCTTTGAGGACTCAATCTAGTGGGTTAGATTGTTTCCATTTGATCCATTTACATTATGATATATGTGGTACACGCTTCCCAATGATGTAATTCTTTCTTTCCTAAATCCGTCTCCAACCAGCCCCTCTGGGGCATGCAACCTGGGCGGCACCTCACGACAGGGGAGGGGCATCCTTGCATGACGCCCTTCTCCATAGATATTGATGGTGAGCTATACTGCAAAACTTGAATTAAGAAAGATGTTTTTGATATAATGCTTTCCGCACGTCTATGTTGTTTTGGGTAGTCCCAAGGAAATCTAGAATCTCCACAATCCTTAATGGTTGAATGAATCGTAGGCTTTGCAAAAATCCACCCAAGGATAGAAAATAGGCTGCATTTGTTGCTATCATTAGTTGCTACCATTCTTTATTATATATCTAAATAACCAAAATATACATGTCATCATTGTTGTTATCATTCTTTATCATACCACTTCTTCTGTCCCATAATAAATGTCCTCTATTTGAAGTACAAAATTCATTACAAAGAAAGCTTCAAAAGTACAAAACAAGTTCAGAATCAAAAAGATTGGGTGTTGCGGCCCTGAAGGGCGCCGCTGGTTTCCGAAGCTCGTGGGGTCGCCACGCCCTGCGGCTCGGCTGGTGACAGTCCAGCCGGCCCTCTCCACCGAATTTGGTGGGCGGTAGCGGGGCGCTCGTTCCCTCGGATGCGCGGTGGGCCCAGAACAATGGGGATCGTCCCCAGGGCCTGCTGTATGCGGCGGGTGGTGGCACAGCCAGACGGTGGCTCACTGGTCACGGAGAGACCAGGCAGTGGGCCAAAGATCGAATTACACTCGTGACCTACATGCGCCTGTTTCAGAACCCGCATGCGCGCGAGGCCCGATCGCGGGTCCCTCACGGTCACATCAAGATAGGACAGCATACAACAATATATAATGTATTGTAAGGTGTTATGTGCACGTCTCCCCACCCACCATTCACTTAAATCAGCTTCGTATAATCCCCTATGCTTCTACCTACCGGTCCGAATCCCATGCTAAAATACTGCAACTTCAACTGGCCATAACTTTGCCGTTTCTACACGGAATTGGACGTTTCAAGGCGCTATCGGCATTAGGAGCTCTTGAATAATGCGATTTTAACCGTCTAAGCACTTTTTGCACTAACCATCGCTTCAAAAATGCCAATTTTAGCCTGCCCCCAAGTAGAATCACCACATTGGGTCCAAAACGCTCAACTACCAATTTTTGAGGGAAAAATGTCAGTCCCACTCCTTGAATGGCACCCTTGAAATTGCCCTTAGATTTGGAAAAAAAATGGGCACGCCAATTTTGGTTCCGCTGAATATCTGCACGGTTCTGGGTCACTCCCGTCCCGGGCAACCAAGGGGATGGCTTTGGCACTACCGTGGTGAAGGGCAACACCCCTTGCGTGGATTAGCGCTGGTCCAACATGGCCGATGGTATTTGGATCGTCATTGCCGAAGGCCATCGTTGCAACATTGACGATACCAAAATTCGCTGCGACCCTAGATCCGCGATGCAAGGA